CTGGCTCAAGTGGTATAGTGTGCTAAGGTAGAGCAAAAGAAGCTCAGAGACAGTGCCAGGTCCTGAGTTCAAGCCCCAGGATTGGCAAAAAAAAAAGGGGGGGGATAAGTAGAGAGAAACACCAGAAGAGGTGAACCTGTGGTATCTTATTCCCTTTGGAATAAGTCACATCTAGGGGCAGCTTAGTCTGGACCATACATGGTTAAGTACCAAGTTAGGCTTGGCACTTCACTCAAAGGCAAACGCTTCTGGGAAAAGGAGTTCAGTTAAATAAACCCAAGTAGCTGACGTGGGTAGAATTTCTTCTGCCTGACCCATTAACAACTATGAAGGGGACATTTTAGGAATGTTTTTATTGAAATGCTTCAGTGGGGCATAGCCTCTGGAAGCCAGCACTTGGCTCTGAGGCCAGGCCTGAGGAGCACAAAGGGATGCAGACAGTTGGCTGACAAGGGAGGGGAGGAGAGGCCTGGGTCAGAAGAGGCAGCAAACACTGTCAGGGCAGTTCTCATTGCCATGTTTGCTCTTGCCTGCTGTAATTAAATCTTTCTCAATATGATTCTGGCTTCCTGAGGAAACTAGAATTTACAAAAACAAGAAATAAACAGAAATAGCAGAGCTGATTGGCTGAAATGTATCCTTGAAATCATAAAGCACTTGTGTGGTTAGATCACTGGTGCCAGTTTCAAAGCACCTAATCTGTTATAATGCAGGCAGGAGAGTTCTTCTAAGAAAACGAACAATAAGAGAAAATAAAGAAACCTACATTTACTCACAAAAATAGTCATGTGCTCTCCATTTGCCCCCAGCATCCTTGTTTGCTCCTAGCACAAGAAAATGGTCCTCTCAGAATTCCCTCCATTTTTCCAACTACCTTATTTTCAAAAATTCCATTCCTTAATTCCTTCCCACATAGAATCTATGGACCAGAATAAATCAGATGTTTTATTTCCTCTCCAAGGATGTGACCTTCTACTCCCCAAATGGCTTTGACAGTTTTCTCATTTGCCAGCTGAGGAGGATATCAAGAGACACTGACTTTGTGGTTTTGCCTAAAGAGGGAACACTCAGTAACTATTATGCTTCAGTCTTCTGATGTGCTTGAACTACCCTTCCTCCCCTCCACCATGCCCTCGCCTCCCTACCTCTTCACTTTTTTCTTGAACATTCTGCTCACTCTGCAGGGCTTGGCAGCTCCTCAAGCCTGCTCTTACTCTTGCCTGGTGTAGGGATACTATAAGGCACATCTTTCTGCCTCCCACCCTACACAGTTCCTTGCTAGCAAGAGAGCGTTCTGGGCCTCTAGGAATACTCAGTTTTTAACCTGATTAGTCCCCTCATCTACCCAGAGCCAGACTTTAGTGTCATTTAGCTATCTGTGGAGGGAAAAGAAATTGTCAGACATCACTTACAAAGCCCTGTCCTTTGGACACTTGGGAACTGCTGAGAGAAATGAATCTTTGAGCTATTTAAGGCAATTCCTTTTCCATCATCCTTTGTCAAGACAACTGTACTGGGAAATGAATCTGAAGGGAGTCTCTGAACTGGTACTCTCCACTCTACAGCATCCTCCCATCGCTACACAGCATCCATCATCCCCACACAAGCAGAGATGGATGACATTGCCAACTCCCTAGCAGTACCCAGCAGCTAGAAATCAAATGCACAGGGTGGATACCACTAGATACTAGCAGTTTTTCCTTATCTCTGTTCTTTTTTTTTGAGGAGGGGGACGGGGCTGGTCCTCAGCTTGAACTCAGGGCTTGGGTGCTGTCCCTGACTCTTTGTACTCAAGGCTAACATTCTACCACTTGAGCCACAGTGCCACTTCTGGCTTTTTTGAGTACTTTACTGAAGATAAGGGTATCACAGGAACTTTTCTGCCTGCGCTTGCTTCAAATTGTGATTCTCAGATCTCAGCCTCCTGAGTAGCTAGATTATAGGTATGAGCCACCTGTGCCCAGCTCATCTCTGTTCTTTCTTTCTAGAATATCTACCAAGAAATGGTCTCCTTCTTTAGAGTCTTGAATCCCAGACCCAGGAGGGCAGAGAACTTAGGACTGTAAGTTACGAATTTTCCTGAAATGATGCTGGTAGTGCAGAGTTTAAACAGACCACTGCCCAATGCAAGGTGCTAAGACAGGTTCAGGGGAAGAGGTGGTGCTGTTTGAAGCTCATTTCTTCTGCACACCTAATTTTCTATTTAGGAAGAGACTAGGGAATCTGCTCTCTGGCATTATGTAAGGGAATTACAACCTTTGACTTTTCTCATCCACAAGGTTGTTTCCCAGGACAATGTTGAGGTTCTAAGAGCCAAACTCTGTGTGTGTGTGTGTGAGAGAGAGAGAGAGAGAGAGAGAGAGGAACCAAAAGTATTGTGGAGCATGAAGCTCAATGGCTGATTCTCTGACCTTTAAACTCTACTTTATTATTTTTTTTAATTAATTTTTTTTGTTGGTCGTGGGGCTTGAACTCTGGGCCTGGGCGCTGTCCCTCAGTTCTTCAACTCAAGGCGAGCGCTCTACCACTTGAGCTACAGCACCACTTCCGGTTTGTGGTTTATTGGAGATAGGAGTCTCACGGTCTCTCCTGCCCAGGCTGGCTTTGAACCGCGATCCTCAGATCTCAGCCTCCTGAGTAGCTAGGATTACAGGTGTGAGCCACCAGTGCCCGGCTTCTACTTTAGCCTGGTTTAATTTCTTTCAGTTGTTGGAATTTCATCTTTAAAAAGGGAGGGTGTGGAGAGAGGCTGGGAATGTGGTTTACTGGTAGAGTGCTTGCCTAGCATGCATGAAGCCCTGGGTTTGATTTTTCAGTTAAGTTGCTCATTAAAAAAAAATTAAGCCATGGGCTGGGAAGGTGGCTCAGTGGTAGAGCACTTGCCTTGCATGCATGAGGCCCTGGGTTTGATTCCTCATTACCACTTAAGCAGAAAGAAAAAAGGCTGGAAGTGGTGCTGTGGCTCAAGTGGTAGAGCGCTAGCCTTGAGCTGAAGAGCTGAGGGACAGCGCCCAGGCCCAGAGTTCAGGCCACAAGACCGGACCAAAAAAAAAAAAAAATTAAGCCAGGCTCATGCCTGTAATCCTAGCTGCTTAAGAGGCTGCAATCTGAAGATTGTGGTTCAAAGCCAGCCCAGGCAGGAAAGTATGCAAGACTCTTATCTCCAATTAACCACTCAGAAAACTGGAAGTGGCGCTGTGGCTCAAGTGGTAGAGCGCTCGCCTTGAGCTGAAGAGCTGAGGGATAGCGCCGCCCAGGTCCAGAGCTCAAGCCCCACGATGGACAAAAAAGAAAAAAAATTGTACAAGACAGGAGGATCATGAGTTCAAGCCCAGTCTGGGTGACATAGCACAACTGTTTCAAAGAAAATACAAGGCCTATTTTTTTTTTTTTAAATACCAGTTCAGGGGCTTAAACTCAGGGCCTTGGCACTGTCTGAGCTTCTTTTGCTCAAGGCTAGCACTCCTCCACTTCCACCACTTGAGTCATAGTGCCACTTCCAGCCTTTTCTTATTATGTAGTACTGAGGCCTAATTTTGTTGTTATTGTTGGTTGTGGGGCCTGAATTCTGGGCCTGGGCACTGTCCCGTCAGCTCTTAGATCAAAGCTAGTGCTCTACCACTTGAGCCACAGCACCACTTCTGCTCTTTTCTACTTATGTAGTGCTGAGGAATCAACCCAGTGCATGCAAGGCAAGCACTCTTACCACTGAGCCACCTTCCCAGCCTCTGAGGCCTAATTTTTAAAGATCTACAAACCATGTCATAAGTGAGAAGAGGCTGTAACATCTCACATATCGCATATGTTGATGGTAGTCTGTACAGGAGAAAGCTGAGACATAGCTCCTGCCTGTTTTAGCTGTAGAGTATATTTGGGTCCATGCTAGTGGACTCCAGGGGCTCCTGAGATACTTGTCAGCAAAATGAATCTCCTAAGGCACAAGAGTCATTTGTTTTCCAAACTCCTTTCTCCAATCTCACTAATTCCCAATTTCCCCCGAGTTTGACAAATGCAATTAACAAGCCTGGATCAGTTCTTGGTGGACAGCCTCATCAATCAATACAAAACTGCACCAGGATGAAGAGGAAGGAAGGAAGCTGCAGCACAGGGGTGAAGAGGCCTTACTCCACCTAGTTGGAATGACTCCTCCTATTCCCTGTCTGAAAAAAAAATGACATTGTTCTCTCAACTACCACTCTCTTCTATCTAGCCAACTACATAAAAGGTGGTCTTATACTTATGTTCTCCCCCATTTTTAGATTTCTCCTGCCAATACCCTGTATCCTGTCTTCTCTTTAACAGTAGCTTTTGCCATCTGCCACCACCACAGCTTGGGAACCCCCTCAAGTGCTGGGTGACAAATTGGCCCTCTTCCCACCCACACATTCCAGTGCCAATTCTGGACTGCTTCATGCCCAGGATGCACAAGACCACCTCTCCCAGCTTTGCCACACAGATAACCATGCTGGAAGACCAAAAGGAAAAGACCAAAAGGTCACCAGGGCTTTCACATTCACTATTCTGTTCTTTCCTGAGGTCTAAGCCTTCCCTTCCCCATGGGGTTAACACTTCAGACTTATGCTGGCAGTTCAAGGCCAACCTGGGCTACATAGACACTATCTCAAAAAAACAAAATAAATTATGTGTTTATTGCTGTCCCCTCTCCTCTGCTGAAGTCTGTCAACTTCCCTTCCCCCACAGCAGGCTGAGCTTTTTCCCCTGTAGCCTTTCTGGTACAGCCCTGTGCATCTTTCCACCTCATCAACTTCTCATTTTTTTTTTTGCAAACGGAATTTGGAAATCTCTCCCTCCTCCCTGCCATTCTCCTTCTCCTTTGTTATTAGCTTCATGAGTGGGATATTAATGTATTCACTAGACAATGTCTTCCCACTACTGTTTCCTGTAATTACAGTGCCTTTCCTCCCACTGTCCTAGCTTATTTGACTGCAAAGTGCTTGGAGGAGGGACAGCGTGGACAAAAGACACAAGACAGGCTGAGGTCGAGTACTGAGTGCTGTAATGGTAACATCCAAGAAAGTAAACAGCGGCCTCTGTAGCAGCTCATTTATAACGGGTCACACACAGTGATCAATGTTTCAGGGGCTTTATAAAAAGGTACAGATACAACTGTGGATTACTCTACTCTAGAAGGGATGTTATAATATTACCAATGACAGTCACCCCAAGAAATCCATCCTTCAGGGAGTAGATTTACTATACTTTTCATGTAAATCGGCTACATTGTCACTGGAGACTCGGATCCAGCCATCTTCCCGCACGTGGTAGAGATTGACTGAACCTCCTGAGTAAGCATCTCTGTAGGTGGCTTGGTAGATGGCTCGGCGGGCCAAATCATAGGCTGCTGCCACTTCCAAGTCATAGGAGTAGCCTTGATCCATAACTCCATAGGCGTATACAGAGCCAGAACCTACAGAAAAGGTAGCTCCAGAGATCCGGTTCCCTTCACTGTCCACGTAGTAGAGGCCTGAAAAGCAGGGGAAAAAAAATCACCACTACACATCTTTTTTTTTTTTGCTGATTGTGGGGATTGAACTCTGTGCTTGGCTGTTGTCCCTCAGCTCTTCAGCTCAAGGCAAGCATTCTACCACTTGAGCCACAGTGCTACTTCTGGTTTTCTGGTGGTTAACTGGAGATAAGTCTCACGGACTTTTCTGCCTGGGCTGGCTTTGAAACATAATTCTCAAATCTCAGCCTCCTGAGTAGCTAGAACTACTGGCGTGAGCCCCTGGTGCCTGGCTCACTACTCATCTTTTTTTTTTGGTCAGTCATTGGGCTATAACTCTGGGCCCAGGTGCCACTTCCAGTTTTCTGGTGGTTTATTGAAGATAAGAGTCTCACAGACTTTCCTGCCTGGGCTGGCTTTGAACCACAATCCTCAGATCTCAGCCTCCTTTGTAGCTAGGATTACAGGCATGACCCACCAGCACCCGGTTCACTACTTTTTTTTTTTTTTTTTGCCATTGTAGAGCCTGAACTCTGGGGCCTCAGCTCTTCAGCTCAAGGCTAGTGCTCTACCACCTGAGCCACAGCACCACTTCCAGCTTTTTCTGCTTATGTGGTGGCTGAGGAATCAAACCCAGGGCCTCATGCATGCAAGGCAAGCGCTCTACCACTGAGCCACCTTCCCAGCCCCATGTATTTCTTAATAGGAATACATTCTCAGAAATTTGTTGGTTGAAGGCAGATACTGGTGGCTCACACCTGTAATCAATGGTAGGCACACCAGTCACGCCAACATTTTGGTCAATGATAACTACATATCTTGTGAGATTATATCATGCAGTGAAATTGTAGTGGTTTTGGTTTATGTCATAAACTAAATATATACTGTGATAATTGCACTAAGACAAAGATCCCTGTTAAGGGCTGAGATTATGGCTTACTGGTAGAGTGCTTGCCTAACATATATGAAGCCCTGGGTTCAATTCCCCAGTACCACATAAACAGAAAAAGCCAGAGTGCTGCTGTGGCTCAAGTGATAGAGTGCTAGCCTTGAGCAAAAAGCTCAAGGAAGGTACCCAGGCACTGAGTTCAAGCCCCCCCCCAGGTCTGGCAAAAAAAAAAATCCCTATTAAGGCCGGGCGCTGGTGGCTCACGCCTGTAATCCTAGCTACTCAGGAGGCTGAGATCTGAGGATCGAAGTTCAAAGCCAGCCCGGGCAGGAGAGACCGTGAGACTCCTATCTCCAATAAACCACCAGAAAACCGGAAGTGGCGCTGTAGCTCAAATGGTAGAGTGCTCGCCTTGAGCTGAAGAGCTGAGGGACAGCGCCCAGGCCCAAAGTTCAAGCCCCCCCGACAAAAAAAAAAAAAAAAAAAAATCCCTATTAAGAACAAACTTATCTGTTTATTTATTTTTGTACTGGTACTGGTAACTTGAACTCAGGGATTTGCACTAATGCTTAGGTTTTTCGATCAAGACTGGGACTCTTATCACTTGAGCAAACAGCTCCATAGCTTGTTAACTGGAGATGGTTAAAAGTCTCACAGTCAGACATTGGTGACTCACACCTGTAATCCTAGCTACTCAGGAGGCTGAGATCTGAGGATCATGGCTCAAAGCCAGCCTGGGCAGAAAAGGCTTTGAGACTCTTATCGCTAATTAATCACTAGAAAATGGAAGTGGAGCTGTGGCTCAGTGGTAGAACACTAGCCTTGAGCATAAAAACTCAGAGACAGCACCCAGGTCCTGAGTTCAAGCCCCACTACTCACCCAAAACAAAACAAAAAACCAAAACAACAAAAAAATCATGGACTTTCTTGCCTTGTCTGGCATCAAACCGTAATTATCATATCTCAGCCTGCTGAGTGCTAAGATTCCAAGAGTATGCTTTTACACTCTCTTCTGTTTCTTCTCATAGTCATGTCTATTCTTTCTGATCAGTGTGGATAGAGGGACAAACATAGAGGCTGTTTTGGTAGTACAGGAAGGGGTTTGAACTGAGGAAGATTACAAAGAAAATGATAGCTGCACTCCCAGCTACATGTGGCTTAGGAGAACTTGAAATGGTACTATGGTCATAGATTGAATATTTTAATCTTCTTGTACTAAATGAGCATAAGACAATTTCTTTTATTTTTTCTTTAAAATTTATCGTTCTTGCCAGGTTCTCACTGTCTAGCCTAGACTGGCATGGAATTCCAGCCTCCTGGAATACAGAGGTGTACCATCATACCTGGTTTCTTTTTAAATTTTTTTGTTGGTCATGGAGTTTGAACTCTGGGCCTGGATGCTATCCCTCAGCTCTTTAGCTCAAGGCTAGTGCTCTACCACTTGAGCCACAGCTCCACTTCTGGCTTTTTCTGTTTATGTGGTGCTGAGGAATGGAACCCGGGCCTCATGCATGCAAGGCAAGCACTCTGCCACTGAGCCACCTTCCCAGTCCTCTTTATAATTTTTATATATATCCAAGAGAAATTTCTAAACTATGTGTGTGACTCACACGACTTCCTTTCTTTCTTTCGTCAGTCATGGGGCTGAACTCTGGGCCTGGGCACTGTCCCTCAGCTCTTCAGCTCAAGGCTAGCACTCTACCACTTGAGCCACAGTGCCATTTCTGGCTTTTTTCCCCTGCTTATGTGGTGCTGAGGAATGGAACCCAGGGCCTCATGCATACGAGGCAAACACTCTACCACTGAGCCAACTTCCCAGCCCCTCATACGACTTTTCTTTTCTTTTTTGGTCGGTCGTGGGGCTTGAACTCTGGGCCTGGGCGCTGTCCCTAAGCTCATCAGCTCAAGGCGAGCGCTCTACCACTTGAGCCACAGCACCACTTCCAGTTTTCTGATGGTTTATTGGAGATAGGAGTCTCACAGTCTTTCCTGCCCGGGCTGGCTTTGAACCGAGATTCTCAGATCTCAGCCTCCTGAGTAGCTAGGATTACAGGCGTGAGCCACCAGCGCCCGGCTCTCACACGACTTTTCTATCAGCATTGCCTAGAGTTTTTCTCTTAGCCAAATTAATTCTCAAATATTATTTCTAGGTCTTATCAGTTTATGGAGTAGAAAAATATGTAGGGCTGGGAATGTGGTTTAGTGGTAGAGTGCTTGCCTAGCATGCATGAAGCCCTGGGTTTGATTCCTTAGTACCACATAAACAGAAAAATCCAGAAGTGGTGCTGTGGCTCAAGTGGCAGAGTGCTAGCCTTGAGTAAAAGGAGCTCTGGGACAGTGCCTGGCCCTTGGTCAAGCCCCAGGACTGGCAAAAAAAAAGGGGGGGGGAAGTATTATGTACAATATTTCACATTAGTTACTTTACATTTATTTACTTCTTTTATTTTGAGGTTTTATTATCTTTTTTTTTCCCCATTGTGGGGACTAAACTCTGGGCCTGGGCACTGTAAGCACTCTACCGCTGAGCCACCTTTCCTTATCTTACTTTTAAGTGGTTTTTACAAAGGGATTTCAATTCAACATGTCAGTTTATGAGTATAATGCATATTAATCAATGTTACCACTTCCATAATTTTCCTTTTAAATTTTGACAGAATTGAGGTTGGTACTCAGGACCTTGTGTTTGGTAGGACACCATTCTACCACTTTAAGTGATGCATTGCTTTTTGCTGGGCAGTTTGGAGATGGGGGGGTCTACTGAACCTTTCTGTCTGGAATGGCCTTAAAACTTAATCCTCCAAATCTTAACCTTCACAGTAGCTAGGATTGTAGATGTGAGCCACTGGTACTTGGCTTACATGTAAATCTTACTAAACCAATATTACAGATTACCACTCAATGTGACATGAAGAAACAGAGGCTAAAAAAATAAGTAACCTGGTCAATTGACTAAGTCAGTCAATGACACAGCAGGTCTAACTTAATGCTCTTTCTCACACTATAATCAATGCTTTCCTTGGACAAGAAGGGAAGGCTAAGAACCTAAGTAGCACATCTTTTTTTTTGTCGTGGGATCTGGACTTTTGGCCTGGGTATTGCCCCTCAGTTCTTCAGCTCAAGGCTAGCACTCTACCACTTAAGCCACAGTGCCACTTCTGACTTTTACTGCTTATGTGGTGCTGTGGAATTGAACCCAGGGCTTCAAGCATGCAAGGCAAGCATTCTTCCACTGAGCCACCTTCCCAGCCCTAATTAGCACATCTTATATTAATTCAAAACCCCTCTTGGTATTGTTAACTCAAGGTCAAGGACTGTAGGACAACTCACCAGGACCTCTCTTATCCCAGCCACAGATCATGGTACCCATGGACAGCCCCATGCCTTTGTACTGATAGACCATGTTGGCAAGAAGCTTGGAGGCAGCTGCTACTGAAATGCGTTCCTTATTTCGAAGCTCATAGATTCGACACTGCCGGGCCAACAGCCGCTCCCAGAAGCTGCAATCCGCTGCACCCCCAGCCATGGTGCCCAGAAGGTAGGGATTGATCTCTATGACTTTCTTCACTGTCTGGGAAGCAATGTAAGCCCCTGCTGTGGCCCGGGAGTCAGCTGCAACAATGACTCCATGGCGAAACTGTTAAGATCAGAAAAAAAACACAAAACAGGCCCAATTAGACAACAAAAAACATTCCCCTGATGTGTGTATATATTTAAATTTTTTTTTATTTTTAAATTTTTAGTGGTGTCATGGAGCTTGAACTCAAGGCCTGGGCTCTGTCTGTGAGCTTTTTTGCTCAACAGTAGCTGTACCAATTGAGCTACATCTCTACTTTAGGCCTTTTTTTTTTTTTGTCTGGGTTGGCCTCAAACTGTTATTCTCAGATCTCAGCCTCCTGACTTGCTAGGATTACAGGCCTGAGCCAACAGTGCCCAGCTTATTTATTTATTTCTGGTGGTAGTACTGGGGCCTGGATGCTGTCCCTTAGCTTCTTCTTGCAAGGCTTGTGCTCTACCACTTGACCCACATCTCAGGACTTTTCTGCTTGGTCTGGCTTTGAACCTTGTGTTCAGCTCAAGTTTCCTGGGTAGCTAGGACAACAGGTGTGAGCCACCAGCACCCAGTGTCCATGATGTTTCTTTTTCTTCTTTTTTTTTTTTTTTTGGTCGGTGGTAGGGCTTGAACTCTGGTTCTGGGCGCTGTCCCTCAGCTCTTCAGCTCAATGTTAGCGTTCTACCACTTGAGCCACAGCATCACTTCCGGCTTTTTCTGCTTATGTGGTGCTGAGGAATCGAACCCAGGGCCTCAAGTATACAAGGCAAGCACTCTATCACTGAGCCACCTCTCAGCGCCCCCATGATGTTTCTTTGACGCTAATGCAAACCGAGCAAATCTTTCACTGTTCTTTTGTATTTTATCATACACATTTCCTTCACCTATTAATGTCATTTGGACTTCACCGCAATCCTCAGACTTGGGTATAACCAATATTACATCCTTTTGCTGTTGTTGTTTTTGTCGGTCGTGGGGTTGAACTTGGGGCCTGGGTGCTGTCCCTCAGCTCTTTTGCTCAAGGCTAGCATTCTACCACTTGAGCTACAGCACCACTTCCGGTTTTCTAGTTGTTAACTGGAGGTAAGGGTCTCACAGACTTTCCTGTCTGGGCGGGCTTCGAACTGTGATCCACAGATCTCAGCCCCCTGAGTAGCTAAGATTACAGGAGTCCAGCCACCGGCCAGGGATCCCAATTGTCTAGCTCTTTATTACAATGGTCCCGGGACTTAACCCAGCTTCCCCCTATGGCCAGAGACTCAGTTATCCTTGTCCTGAGTGTAAAAAACCTTTGGTGAATAGTGGCACTAGCCTCTAGCTACGGCTTCCTTGTTCTCGGCTAAGGACTCCCAGGATAGACGCGGCCTGGGGACGCCTGGGAATCTACCCGAACCGCCTCCGGATCCTACACGCACTCAGCGCAGCCCACCCCCCCACCCTTCTCCAGGCAGCACGAAGGCCGAGGACTCCGGGACAATGAGTCAGCGAAGCCAGGACCGAGCCTTGGACCGAGCCTTGCTGCCTGGGCTCAAGGCTCGGTGGTCGCGGCCACAGCACGCTGCCTTCCGCCTGGGAGGCCGGGCCAGGCCGGGCCGGGCCGGGCGCGAGCGCTCGCGGCTCAGCCGCGGGAGACGAGGAGATCCGCACCTTGAAGGCTAGCGTGGTGGTTCCATGAAGCATTTCGATTCGCGGCTCCTCTGGGACCCCCCAGCCAGGTGCAGCCAGGCTCAGCCCATCGCTGGGACTCCCCGGACCCAGGTTCACCAGATCTGCACGACCTCCAAGTCCAAAAAAGCCCTGCCGGTTCACCGGTAGCGGCCGCTCCAACACGCTGGCCAGCGCCATGTCTAAGAAGGGCAGGCGAAATAAACTCCCAGAATGCCAAGCAAAGAACTGCCGGGCAACGCCTCGCCGTCACAGCTTCACTTCCTATTAAATCTATTCCCACGGCACAGCCATTTTTACTCCTGGCAACCACTCCTCCCAAAACAAGAGCCAGACCAGAGAGGCCATTTTCACCGAGGTACGGGGGGCGGGGGCGAAGAGGGGGGGGGGCGTTGCTCGACTACATTACTTTTAACGCTAAAAGGCTGTGAACAGACATTTTGATTTTGGTTTGAAAGCCGTACAGGATCAGATGAACTTAAGGAGGGAATGGAAACGTCCTTGTTGAGTGAGGTGAGGTTGGCCATCTTTGGAAAGGGCGTGACTGGTTGAAAACTGGTTGGCCTCTCTTGGTTAGTGGTCCCCGCCCAGTTTGGGGTCTAACCTGGAGTTTCTGCAGCTCAGCTCCTAAAAAAACTGATGTTGCCTTTTTGGTTAAGGACATCCTTAATACTGAGAAATATAACTAATTTGAAGTCATTTTCCTGTGATAGTCAAACCAAGCAGTTTGTGATTTAAAAAAAGAAAAGAAAAGAAAATGTAGTTTTGGTTTGACGGCATTAGTGGCCTTACCCCAACCATTCCTGAACAGTAACCAATTTTTAGTATTCAGTAGTCTTTTCTTTTTGCCTCCACTTCCTAGTGGACATTGTAAATGATGAATTGCTTAAAAGGCAAATAGAAGAATAAAAAAGGGCTGGCAGGTGGCTTAAGTGGTAGAGTGCTAGCCTTGAGCAAAAGCTCAGGCCTTGGGGCTGGGAAGGTGGCTCCGTGGTAGAGCACTTGCCTTGCATGCTCGAGGCCCTGAGTTCAATTCCTCAGCACCACATAAGCAAAAAGCCGAAAGTGGCACTGTGGCTCAAGTGGTAGAGTGCTAGCCTTGAGCTGAAGAGCTGAGGGTCAGTGCCCAGGCCCAGAGTTCAGGCCCCACGACCGGACCCTCCCCCCCCCAAAAAAAGAAACTCAGGCCCCAGGGCTGGTGGCTCCTGCCTCCTAGCTATTAAGGAGTCTGAGATCAAAGCCAGCCCCAGCTGGAAAGTCTGTGAGACTCTTGTTGTTGTTGTTGTTGTTGGTCTTGGGGCCTGAACTCTGGGCCTGGGTGCTGTCTCTCAGCTCTTCAGCTCAAGACTAGTGCCCTATCACTTGAGCCACAGCACCTCTTCCGGCCTTTTCTGTTTATGTGGTGCTAAGGATTCAAACCCAGGACCTCATGCATGCAAGGCAAGCGCTCTACCACTGGGCCACCTTCCCAGCCCTGTATTCCAAATTCTTACTTCCTTTCTCTTTTTTTTTTTTGTGTCAGTCCTGGGATTTGAACTCAGGGCTTGGGCACTGTCCCTGAGCTTTTGGGCTCAAGGCTAGTGTTCTACCACTTTGAGCCACAGCACTATTTCCAGCTTTTTGCTAGATAATTGGAGATAAGAGTCTTACAGACTTGGGGCTGGGAAGGTGGCTCAGTAGTAGAGTGCTTGCCTTGCATGCATGAGGCCCTGGGTTCGATTCCTCAGCACCACATAAGAAAAAAGCCAGAAGTGG